GATCACGGCTCGCCGGAATGGCGAGGCCCAAGGAGCTACACAGAGCAGCTCTCCAGTGCATGTGATTGGCTGAATATTGGAGCAGCTGGGAGAGGCACGAAGCAGCTCGGTATAACTCGGGCAAAACAATGACCTGACGCCGCCAGGCGCGGCCGGCTGATCGCAGACAGCCAGCTCAAAACCTACCCACTCCCCACGTCACATTGCACAGCAAAAACTTCAACTCTCACGGCCGTCAGCTCCTAATTCGCCCAGCAGCACTCCCCAGGTAAGAAAACCGCGCAGGCTTTTCAGTGCTTGCTTTTGCCCGCATGGTTCTCTGATAGCGGGGGTCGCGAAACCCCACCTTCCTCAACATTACCTCATCCTCGTGTGCTCCTATTTACTGCCGGCCACGCGCTATAAGATTTGCCATTCCGCAGACTGCTAACCACCAATTCCCCCAGACACGACACCAATTCACCATGGGTGCCCAAGATGTCCTCTCCCGCAAGTCCGGCGTCATCGTCGGCGACGATGTGCTGAAGGTGCCAACCCCAAGCTCGCGTGGCACGGGAGCCGCCGCTGACCGCTCTTCGATATAGCTGTTCAACTACGCCCAGGAGAAGGGCTGTAAGTGCTCCCCTGGTCCGGAGCCCGGCTGGACTGCCTACTGACCATTCCTTAGTCGCCATTCCCGCCATCGTAGGGCGCTCCCCAGCCCACATTAGCGCCAGAAGAGCGCGCTGACCCGTCACAGAACGTCACCTCCAGCTCTACGGTTGTAGCAGCCCTTGAGGCTGCCCGTGACAAGAAGTCGCCCATCATTCTCCAGACCAGCCAGGTAGGTTCTGTTCCTTGGCCTATTCGCCAGCCAATAGGTTCTTGAGGCGCCTGTACTGACGTGACACTAGGGTGGTGCTGCCTACTTCGCCGGTATGTCCCCGGTCAACACGTCAACACGTCAACACGTCAACACCCACCAATATCGAAGAACACGCTGACAGGGAGATGCAGGCAAGGGCGTCGACAACAAGGACCAGGCTGCATCCATTGCCGGTGCCGTCGCCGCCGCACACTACATCCGCGCCGTTGCGCCCATCTATGGCATTCCCGTCATTCTCCACACAGATCACTGCGCGAAGAAGCTCCTCCCATGGCTGGATGGCATGCTCGACGCCGACGAGGCCTATTTCAAGGAGCACGGCGAGCCCCTCTTCTCCTCCCACATGATCGATCTCTCGGAGGACTCCGTCCAGTACAACATCGAGACCACTGCCACGTACCTGAAGCGCGCGGCGCCAATGAAACAGTGGCTCGAGATGGAAATCGGTATCACCGGAGGTGAGGAAGACGGTGTCAACAACGAGGATGTTGACAACAACTCGCTGTACACCCAGCCCGAGGACATCTACGAGATCTACAAGACTCTCGAGCCCATCAGCCCTTACTTCTCGATCGCCGCAGGCTTCGGCAACGTGCACGGTGTCTACAAGCCCGGAAACGTCAAGCTCCAGCCCAGTCTCCTCAAGAAGCACCAAGAGTACGTCAAGGAGAAGATCAACGCCAAGGAGGAGAAGCCCGTCTTCCTCGTCTTCCACGGTGGATCTGGTAGCACTGTTGAGGACTTCAGGGAGGCCATCTGTAAGCAACATCGCAGTGATATTGACGTATTGAAGCTAACACGCTGCAGCCTATGGCGTTGTCAAGGTCAACCTCGACACTGATCTCCAGTGGGCCTACCTTACCGGTATCCGCGACTATGTCCTGAACAAGAAGGAGTACATCAAGACCCAGGTCGGCAACCCCGATGGTGATGACAAGCCCAACAAGAAGTACTACGACCCACGTGTCTGGGTCCGTGAGGGCGAGAAGACCATGACCACGCGTATCACTACCGCTCTCGACGACTTCTACACCGCTGGCCAATTGTAAGTCATGTGTTCACGAACAGGATAATGGCGTGATGGGTGGGAGGGAAAGTCAGTCGGCGCAATTGGCTTGGGTTGAAGAAAGATGGAAGGAACACAGGCTCAGTCCCCTGCAGGAAGGATCCCTTAGTCGTGATTTTGGTTCGCAATAACATTCCCCTGAGGTTCTTAGCAGAATACAATCTCGAGAAATTACGAACAGTGTTCATGGTGAATTGAGATGCATACCCTGAAGCTGATGTCATATGGCTTGGCAGTCACGATGCTGCAAGACATAAAACAGGGCAAGAGCCCATCTCCCGGGCCTGTTGCATTTCATCCATGGGTATTCGATCTCTTCCAGTCCCCTCTCGTCCCTCAACCTATCCCCCCCTAAACTATCTGCATCCTCCATATTCTTCACAACTTCCCCTGCACCACCTAATTGCATCTTTATCCGCTACTAGCATCTGACTTCCAAACCTCCCACTATATCCGCTGACATGACTTCCGGAACGGCAGGTGGCAACGCAGGTGATGCCGTGAGAAAGGGTGTCGGCATGTTCCACGTATGCACCGCACCTGGCCTTGACCTACGTACTGCCCTGTCATATATGCTAATCTGTGCCAGGGAGCCGGCGAAGCTATCCGAGGGAACATTAATGCTTTTGTAGACAAAGCTACTGGAGACCAGGAGAGTGCAGCACGGCACGAAGTTATTGCCAGTCGCGGCGTCGACGAGATGAAGAACGGATACCAGAGCAGGACTACAGCTGGGGCTGCGACGACGAACAGGAGTACAACGACTGACCCGGCGGGTGTTCAACCAGATCAGTCACAGGGCGGGTACTATGCCCCTCAGGCTGGCATTAAATCAGCAAACTATGAGCCCTCTTATCCTCAGTCTGGTACGCTTAGATAGGTGCCAGAAGGCATGCTCTAGAGATATTTTATACCTTTCGTCGCTATACATATTACCCTCTCCTATCGGGGTTTTACATATTTTCCCTTGCTGACTGGCTAGATTTCTACTCTGGCCTTCGATGCTCACAAGCAGATGGAACATCTCCGGACTACGAACTACAGTCGACAGACACCGGGAAGAAAGCGACCTCTCGCTCAGGCTCGGAAAGCCGTGGGAGCACATCGTCGAACTACGGGCCTCACTCGACAAACTTGGGCAAAAAGTTGGATTCTTTCGTAGATTCGGATCATGGCCACCGCAGTGCACCATCAAACTATGGACCTCATTCAACAAATCCAGGCAACAAATTAAACCCCAGATACGATTCTGACTGTGACCACTGTGGAGCACATGGTGGGAACATTGGAAGTTCTACATTTGAAACAGCTGCTCGTGAGTTCATCTCAGGTTCTGTGCGAGAACACACAAGGCCGATGTCTCCCAACCATAGCTTCAATCATTATCCAGAACACCGTGACCAGTATGGGCAAGGAGACTACGATCATCGCAGTCATCGCGATCCAGATCAACGCGGTCAGTATGGCCATGACCACTACCCTCATCAAGGGCGCGATCAATACCGGGAGCCTCATGTCGACCAAGCCGAGCCTCACATCCGAGCCACCCATCGCAGCAACAATTTGAACGGTCTCGATCCTCGCATAGATATAAAGCATGGTACGCGTCGTTTTTGGCGTGCCAGGTAGCGCCCGTATCATGCCCTTTCCAGACCCTTCCAGATTTCTCCTCGTCTTCTACATCTTAACATTCCAGGCAAGTAACTAACTTAGAAAGATCATTATTACGATCCTCCCTACCGTTCAAATTTCTACTCCTCATTTCGCCAAGGTCACAATAGAGAACCATCCTACAAACTAGAGTACGGTGAACGATTTCCTCGCCATCAAGATTACGAGGTAGAGCGTTCCTATTATCAAGATCACAGCAGAGGACCTCCATATCACCAAGACTATCCACCAAGTCCCTCGGGCCACCAATACCGTTCCCGTGACTCCTTTGACCGTCCAGTGTACTATCTCCGCCGCTATGATTCAGCGCCCAATGGACCCTTTACATCTGCGTACGAAGACGCGGACAGAAAGCCTGCGGCGAAGCAAACTTCCCCTCAGGAATCTGCAGTCATACCCGCGCCGTCACGGCAGCAACCCCGTGCACAACCACAACCTGCAAGTAATGCCCTTCTCCCATTGCTACCCGCCCAGGGACATAAACCAGCACAAAGCAGTGGTAGTGGTGGCAGTGGTGGGGAGAAACATGCCCCACATGCTCATCGCGTCATGAACGTTCTCGATCCGAGGGTGAGTGTGAAGGAGCCGAAAGGGGCGCCGCATTCAACAGAGTATCCGCATAAGGCGGGGTGGTTGAATTTGTTGGACCCAAGGGTGGATAGGGGGAGTGTTAGGAAGGGTGAGAAGGAGAAGGAGCAGGGGTCTGGGTAGGTGGGAGTATGGGTGGATTTGTTGTGTTTGTAGGAGTGGGAATGGTGTGATTGCTTAAGCAGGTAGTTGGTGGGTAGGAGTTTAATGAGATGTTTAATCCTGTTTTGAAGAAAGATTTCGCTGCTGGAAGTTCTAGTGCCATGGTAGCCAGGAAAGTGCTCACAACCTCACGGTGGTGCGAAGCGCGATTGAGCTTCTTCCTCCATAGCTTTCACTGAGACGGTCAGTGATCTGGAAGAGAGTCATAATAAACACTATCGAAGATATCCTGTATATTAGAGTTTTTTTTTTAACTCTTGCAATGTGTGCAATTCACTCTCTGCGCATTTTCATTTATATTTTGAACAATGCTCTTACAACGCGTCCCTTCTAACACTGCATAGCAGTGGGTAAAGACCCAACTCGTAATATTTAATGTTCCTGACGTTCTGGCTCTGGTATTTGAATACTTTTTTTGGAAGAGGATGAGAGATGCTGAGTCACTCCTACCCCACCACTGATATCGACACCCGGAGACTTTCTCGGACTAGTTTCTCGCATTGGGTATAGAAGCAATTGATATGACACAGTATCAGGCGTGACCTTACCCCGACCTCTAACATACTATTTCTTTGTGCATTGTCATTGTCTACATATTCTTTTGTAGCTCCTGAAAATGCCATCAAATCAACTCCAAGATTTGTACCAGGGCGTGTAGCTCAGTGGTAGAGCGCTCGCTTTGCATTGCCTAGTGCTCGTATGCGAGAGGCCCGGGGTTCGATCCCCCGCCCGTCCACTCTTTTTGCTGTTGTTGTGTCTTTTTTGGTTCAACAACGCCAAAGTGATGGAGCTAAGAGGAAGCTACGCACGAGCCTATATCATTGGAAACTCAACACTCAAACAAGAACACTCATTTTGGAAGGGTTATGCAAATGTACAGTAATCTAATTGGAATGAATGTCTTTCTTCAAAGTTCAAGCGCGAGAATGAGAAGGGGAATAAAGAGGGGTTGAGGCTACGGAGAGACAAAACGAAAGATTGTCCAATTCTACGCGGAGGTTTACTCTCAATTTACCAACTTCTTGTCAATCAGGACGATTTTAACACACAAACTGCAGTCGCATCAAAGACACGATGCTTGGCCTGTTCGCATGTGCTTGCAACACAAGTAAATGAGGCGTCCCTGAGCTGATGCCGCCATCCCTGAACGGGATCAGCAACGCCCACTTAAAGCCAACGTCCTTCCCTCCGTCCTCCCTTCCCATTGAAACAAAGGCATATCCCATAAATCCCTTCGCTGTTGACTCTCAAGCTTGCCTGTTGATACACACCCGGAAAACCGACTGTTGCATTAAAAACGACGTCATGGCGCTCGGTACAGTCCTCCCCTTCTGGCCAGCCCTTCTATTTACATACCTGGAGCCAACCTTCCTGTAAGTAGTATTCTATTCTGTCACCAGGGCTTCGCGTCACCACGCGACAGCCGCTGAACTATTACCCTTGAAAAACATAATGCCAGCTACCGCCCTCCACATCCCGGAACCTTCGCCGCACTCCATAACCCCCCAATTCCCTCTCCACCCCTCCATCCCTCATATACACTACATATCCCCACCCAACCAAACTAACCCCCTAGACTCCTCGGCTGGCAAGCCGCCTACCAAACCCCCTCAACCTTCGTGCAATCCCAAGACCCCAACGCCTCCGCTCTCGCCCCCGTGCACCCCGGCGCGCTCATCCTCTCCTACACGCTCGCCAACATCTTCGTCCTCCTCGCTGCCGTAGCTATCATCTGCACTGCTGTAACGCGCGAAGCGCGCGTCGCCAAGGCCTATCTCCTCGTCATCGCTATTGCGGATCTGGGACATATCTATGCGAGTTATAAGGTTGTGGATCCGGATTTGTTTTGGGATTTGGGGAGATGGAATGATGTTATGATGGGGAATGTGGGGGGGAGTGCGTTTTTGCATGTCAATCGCGTGGCGACGTTGTTGGGGGTGTTTGGGAGGGTTGGGGGGAGGCAATAGGGGGGTTTGAAGTAGGGAATGGGTTTGGATACAGGGGTGCAACGCGTAGTTTGAGGTGTGAAGATTGAAGAACAACTTGTATGTAGAGGCGATCAGATTGGTCAAGGAAAAGAAAAGGAGGGTCCAAGTATGGATAGATCGTCTGCTGCTTCATCGAAGCTTCATCGAAGAGTTCGCCAAACTTCTATCTGTGAGCACATTAGTAAGATATTCGAGTCAAATATACTTGAGCAAAAAGAAGAGAACGGCTTGATATAGCAGCGAAAGCAACAAAAAGAAATAACCAATTGAATGCCTCAGACCAGAATTGAACTAGCGACCTCGTCATTACTAGTGACGCGCTCTACCACTGAGCTACTAAGGCTTATTGAATCGATGAAGAATCTTGGTAGCAAGTTGAGTTATATACTGCTTTTATGATGAAAATTGAAAGGCGGACCTGAGGGCGTTTTTTGAAATCATGTTCCCCTCCCGAGGTCGAAAATGTCGGTGTGTGTTTGATCAGCGGGGCATTGGGAAGCGAAGCGAGAAATATCTGTCCTCTGGGACGAAAATTCTCCTTCAGCAACCACAACTGTGAAATGTGCCTTGGGTGAATATGGCGCATCCCAAGCGGAAAAGAAACCCATATCAAGCAAATCTGAATGTAGGTATACCACAAAAATTATGAACTTGATAAGAATAATTGGTGGTATTACCCCACATGCAAAGGGCATGTTCAACTTCCATTATGAATATTTTCCATATCATCGATCCGCCGCCCAATACAATATATACACAAAAGAAATTTTGCATGCTATGCACTTCGCTAGCTTTCCGTCTTCATTACCACCTTCTTATCCCTCTGATTTGTAGGAAATGAATATATATGCATTAAGTGTAGATTTGACATCCTCATAACACCATAAAGAATCAAACAGATATCCCGCTGCTAATTTCGAACAGCCAGTATGAGGCGCATTTATGTGCAAGTGCCAAAGGTCTTTTGGCAGCCGGTTCCGCAATGGTCGGTGGTGGTTCCGCACCATCCGTACTGCGAGCAACAGTTGCCGAAACTGCTGCCTTGGCATGTGAAGTTTGTTGTTCCACCGCAGGTTCCGTCCGTGGAAACCTTGTTGGTGATAGTAGAAGGGGTGGGAGCACGGGTCGATGTGGGAATGGTAGACGATGGTTTAACGGAAGTAGAGGTGGCGGCTGTACCGCAAGTACCGAAGCTGGCCTGGCATCCAGTGCCGCAGTAGTCAGTGGTAGATCCACACCATCCAGCAGCCGAGCAGCAGTTACCAAAGGCGCTCCCCTTGCAGGTATATTTATTGGTTCCACCGCAAGTGGCATCAGTGGTGATTTTCTGAGTTCCAGTGGCCGCAGGGGCGGAGGATGTCTTCGAAGAAGAGACGGCAGGTATGGTAGTCGTGCTGGCGGGTTTGGTAGTTGTGCCACCAGTTCCGCCACTGGCAGAGTTGCGGTACCAGTTGGCAACTGGGTCACCGAGGCACTCACCAACAGTGACAGCCTTGTATCCAAGAGTGGTCAGAGTGGACAGCATATAATCAGTCAAGTTGTAGGCTGTTTGCTCATGGATGTCGTGAGCAATGGACAGCCAGTCGCTAGTCTTAGCAGTGGCTCCATCTGCAGTAATTCCATTCTTGAAATTGTTCTTCGCGGTCTGAATCTTGCTGGGAGTAGCCTGATTATAGTCGTCTGTGTCGACATCAAAGTATACCACGTGGTATCCCAAATCAGCCATGTCCTTCTCACAACCGGATGCAGCGCTACAGCTGGAAAACGGAGGGCGCATATAGGTAGGGAAGAATCCGAGAATGTTACGGACAGCCATCTCATTCTTCCACATCTGGTTCTTACGGTCGACGGCAGACACAACACTCAAGTCCAGATGAGTCCATGTGTGGCTTGCGATCTGGTGGCCGGCGGCGTACGCACGCTTCACAACAGCGGTCAGCTCCGGTGTGGTATCGATCGCTCCTTTGTTAATATTATTGCCTGTGATGAAGAAAGTAGCTTTGGCCTTGTAGGACGCGAATATGTCCAAAATGTGGGCAGTGTAGTTGGACAGAGGTCCGTCATCGTAGGTGATAGCGACCGTTCCAGGTGTCTTGAGATATTAGCTTGGTATGAATACGCAAGAGCCGATGCAACCTACAACACAGCTGTAAATACCAGCTCCACCGTACGCAATAGATCCCAGCTTGGTTCGAGCAACAGTCGATGTGTTGGTTCCGGCGGGTGTGATATTCTCGGGGCAACCTGGACCAAACTTGTACTGGCAGCCGGGCGAGTAGCAGTAATCGTTACCTTTTCCGCACCCTGAACAAGGTCAGTCTATTTTCATAGAGATTAGCCCTTGATAATAAACATACATCCTGCTTCACTGCAGCAGTAACCCGCTGCGCATGAGGGCTTCCCAGTACCACACTGTCCGTCTGCGTTTCCCCCCTGACGGGATTGGAGATTTGTGCGCTTCTCGTGTGTTTCGGAGTGCTCGAGCTCAGCAGCACGAGCCTGGATGTTGGCGAATATATTTCTCGCTTTCAAGTCTTTAATGTTCAAGCCAGCTACAGTGGGTATCGAAGGACCACGGTGAGCACAAACGAGAGGAACAACGGCCGCAACAGCTACGACTGCAGTAGAGAAATGCATGACGATGTCCGTGGTAGCCAATTAACTAATAGTGATTTTGTTGGGGTGAAAGCGAATGACTGTGTGATGGCCTGGTTTACCCAAACAACACTGGTGCACCTGTTCGAGCAAGAAAAAGCGAATGACAAGCTCCAACACGGGGCCGTTGATAACAAGGTTCAGGTGAAAGGAAGTTGAAGAAAGTGCATCACGGGTGGAGGCGGCGCCCGACTTAAAAACGACTCGGAGGATCGACGCTGGATGCAAAACCCATGTCTCCGAGCGTCTAAACTTGACTCAAGTGGTGTGCAGTTCGCCGCAAGACGGCGCAACTGCTTCCCTGCCTAGCCTTGACCCTGTAGAGTCTGCACCAAAGCACCTCGGAGCAATCTGGGCCTTACCCTTTTTAATCTGCCGGCTATGAAAACGGACTCGCTTCGCTTCTCACAGGGCTGGATTGGAAACAAAAGGCGCACGGGCGTCCGCGATGCAGGCACACCCTGCTCCTTCGTTGCAATGCTGTACCAAAAAGGGGAGGGTTTCCTCAGACTGTCGGACTTCAAGAAGCCTGATAATAGTTACACTTACAGGTTCATGACTCGATGTTGTTTCAACGGCCGTTCAGCAAAAGTAAATATTTTGGAGTAATTCACGTTGAGGAGCTTGAAGTGATTGAAACGACGGCCGCCTGAGCAACCGTTCGCCCAACTTTCTTCTGGGCATCGTCATAACAGTCAGAAAATAGAATTCAGAGCTGTAGCTCCCCACTTCCTTGTTTGCTAGCTTCGTGCTGCATGGACTGATGGTGCTCCAATTTTTGACTGCAATCCTCAAGTCAATACGGGTGTGCCTGGCTGTGACACCACAAGCAGCCGACTGCAAATCAAGCTTCAGCAAGTTGCATAACCAAAACTTGCAAGTCGGTCAATCAGGGACTCAACTTCGATTCATTCTGGTGAAGGACAATGAGATTCGAGAAGGTGGTCCACTCATCTGGGAGACCATGCAGCACGCGAGCTAGTGCATGCAGGCATTTTCGCCGTACAACATGTATCTCGCGGTCTGTACGGCATGGAGACGTGGTTCCTGTGTCGAAGGGTGTGGCGAGAAGCGAAAGGCTGAATTGCCTGGT